ATGTGTTGTTTTTCCACACTTTCCTTTTTGCATATGGCTTTGTACTTTGATTATTTTGCTGCTTTTTCAGTTTAGAGGCAACGCGCGCCGGAGTCCACACTGTCGCTGCGATTTTCCTCAGCTCGTCTAATCAACGCCACGGTTTGACTCGGCCCTCTCCCAATAACGATTGGGGTGTCGCTATCGCAAAATGACCCCAACCAACCCGACGGAATGGGCCCAGAAGGTCCGCGCCAGGACGCCATCCCTTCTTGAGCTCGGCAAAGCCGTCCCCAAGCTGGTGTTAAGCTTCGGCGGCTGCGGGTTTCTGGTGACCTATTCCCTCGGGGTTGCCCTTTACCTCCAACAAGAACGAAAGGCGCTGCTCGCGGAGAGCGTCTTTCTGGGGGCGGGATCAGGCGTCCTCCCGGCCCTCGCCCTGGCCTGCGGCCCCGCCGCCGTCAACCTTGAGCACCTCCTCCAGTTCATCCTCGACAACCGCTTCGCCGTGACCGATGAGGCGAAGCGGCTGGAGGTCATGACGGCGGGGATCCACCGCTTTCTCCCGTCGAACGCGCTGGAGCTAGTAGGCGATCGCCTCGCCCTGACGATCGGGTTTTCGAATAGAGACCCGGGCTACCTACGGCAACCCAAGGCCAACATCCACTTTGGCCACCACATCGCTCGGTGGGAGGATTGGGCGGATTTGGGGCAAAACCTCCTCGCGGCGACCGCGCCCAACACCCAACGCCCGATGACCTTCCGCGGCGCCTCCAACGTCCTGCGCGGGACGATGATGTCGTTGAGCAGTGAGCTCGATCAGTGCTGCCGGCATGTCTACATCCACGGTTATATCGGCTTCCGTAGAAACAAAAACCAGGCGCGGCATAACATCCTCATTGGGAGGCATGGGTTCCTCGGGAATACCCACTTCTCCTTTCCAAAACAGGCCTTGTTGGCCTTTATGCCAGTTTTGGGCGGGGAGGATCGGAAGGAGGAACTTCAGCTGGCGTACGACGCGGGATACCACGACGCCCGCCGATATGAGCGATGGGAGGAGGATCCGTACTTTTTTGCGAAGGCCGACCGCTCACCGTGTGACGACTTTAACTTTCGTACCCTTCGGGCCGGTTTCTTCGGTGGAAAGAGGGCTGCCGAGAAGTGGGAATTGTGAAAAACTGACAAGCGGAACATACTGAAGTTAAGGTCCACTGGAGAAAGTGACAATAGCCCTTTCAATAACTAAAGTCACAGTCGTGCATTTTTCCATTCAAAAAAATGGCTTACCGTTATTATTTTTGCGTTCGGTTGATACTTTATTGTGTGTTATTCTGTTGTTGGTATATCTCGATATCAATACATACATACATATATATATATATGTTTATAATCTATACTTTATATTGCAGATAGATTGTGTTATAGGGGAGAAAAGATATATAGAGTACACCAATATCATAGACTAATCAAATATATAGATTGATATATATACAGAGAAGTAACCTTTTAGAACCCCCCTTTATCGCGAACTCACAACCCAAGCGGATAACCAATATGCAGGCATCCGATCCCTCCTCCGGTCCTTCGGGACCGAGCACTACCGGTGTGGACGGTTTAGTCTCGCGGAAGCGCGTGCGTGATATTCACGGCATCGACCGGTTCAAACAGGTCGTCTTCAGTGACCGCGGCTTTCCACAGCTCCACGCGATGGTCATGCGGAACCCCATTCTGATGTACCCCCCCCGACCTCGACGCCGCGGCCCCAGGCCAGTCCGAGACGGCGGCCTCAGACGGCCCCACGCCGGCCCCCGAGGACCCCCCGCGGACCTACCACCACCGCCAGCTCAACGCCCTGCTGCACCTGCTGTACGAGTTCAACCACCTGACCTTCGTCAAGCTGCCGATGGCCGACACCCTCCAGCTGCTCGCGCGCTGCGGGCGGGAGGCCGTCGCGCACGTCGCGGACTACGAGACCCACCAGCGCCTCAGGCGCGGCGCGTGGCTGCGCGAGGTCCACGCCGCGCACCGCGAGCAGCACCGCCTGCGCTCGCAATCCAGGGCCCTCGAGGAGGCCCAGGCCCAGGCAGAGCTGGCCCGCGCCGAGGCCGCGCAGCAGGCCCTGGACCGCATGGACTGGGACCCGATGGACCGCACCGACAGGCA